ATCACAGTTTTGTCCTTTATATTTTCCCCCCCTGTGACGTGAAATGTGATCTAAAAAGCAACACACAATGCAAGCGCTCCTTGGTCAATGCCCACCCCTTTCCCTCCTGCTCCAGTCAGAAAAAGGAGCCAGCGTTTGGAGCGGAGGACATTGCAGGCTTATGGGAGTCAGGATCCTCTCTAGTGCCCATATCAGGTTGCCGGTGGCCACCCCCCACTGTTGGCTTAGCATGGAGTTGCTGAGAAGTAGCAATGGGTTTTAGCAGCAGGTAAATCACCTCCTGTCCATTTTGCCTAGCTCACCAGAAAGACAAGCAAGTGACCTAGTGCTTCTGTAGCCTGGGGCCAGCGCAATCTGCCCCGGCATCTGCATTCCTTCTGTAGCTTCTCGTGTGTGCACATGTACATGGGTATAAACTGGTAAGCCCCAAGTCAGTAGGGCCAGGCTGATTTATAGCAGTTGCAGATTTGGCCTATTGATGCTATTCTTTCCCTTTATTAGGACCGGGTGATCAGACAGCAAGTGTGAAAAATCGGGACAGGGGTGGGGGGTAATAGGAACCTATATAAGAAAAAGACCCCAAAATCGGGACTGTCCCTATAAAATCGGGACATCTGGTCACCATATAGGACCCTCACTGGGGGAACTAAGCCACCAAATGACTTGTATCTTACCACACACCCCTAGTCCCCAGTCCACATGCCCCGTGACCTGAAACATTGCTCGCCTAGTACGGATGGTCACTGTCTGGCTTTGTTTCAGAGGAGGTGGGCCCACTTGGACAGGAAACCAATGGACAGGAACAAAACCGTGTATTCAACCCACTTTCTTCCCAAACGCTCTCCCATCTGGATGGCCCCCATATCCAGAAACACCTGTCTACTAACTGCCCCGATGGCCGCAACTAGAGATCTGACCTCTCCATAGTTCTGTCTCTGAAACCCCATTTCAGACAAACGAGGCTGTACTACAGACATGACCTTGCCCTCCCGCTGTACTTTCTGGGCTACTTCAAAGCTTGTGTTAATTATTATTCCAAAGCAGGGGAGGTTAGGGGGGTTGTTCATTGGAATAATGATACTGAGCCTTATACCGCTTCCAGAAACAACAGCGTGACATCCCGCCTCATTGACATCAATGGGAGCCTCACCATTGAATTCAGTGAGGCCAGGAGTTCATCTGAAATTGACTTCAGTGGAACTATGCTAAGAGCCACCAGTTGAGAATCTGTCCCTAAATTATTGACCGTCACACAGTCCCAAAGAGGTGGAGGGGTAAGCGGACACCAGAGCTCAGAGGGAGGTTAAATATGAGAACAAGAACCCCTAATTCCTGGATTTCTCTCTTTGTGCTCAGACCTGTGCAAGGGACATCTTTCTTATCTGCGCTGGAGGACAGAAGGGAAGGTTGAAAAAAGTGATCTCTGCCTGTGTGGGGGAAGGGAGAGAGAAAGAAGAACAGATCTTGTCAAAGAAGCCATTTGATCTCCCAGTGAGGGCTCTGTTCAGAACAGAAGTCACTCATGTGCTAACATCCATCTCTATTCAGAACAGCATTTAAACACATGCTTAGGCCTGGTCCACACTACTCCCCCACTTCGGACTAAGGTACGCAAATTCAGCTACGTTAATAACGTAGCTGAATTCGAAGTACCTTAGTCCGAACTTACCGTGGGTCCAGACGCGGCAGGAAGGCTCCCCCGTCGATGCCGCGTACTCCTCTCGCCGAGCTGGAGTACCGGCGTCGACGGCGAGCACTTCCGGGATCGATCCCAGAACATCGATTGCCTGCCGCTGGACCCTCCGGTAAGTGTAGACGTACCCTAAGGGTTGGGCACTTGCAGAAGTGTTGTGGAGGGATGTTCTCCAGAACTGGTGCCAGAATTATATTCCTCTCTGGTCTCTGATGCTGTTCATTGAAGTGGACTCTTATTTAAACTTTATTCGTTGCAGCATTTTCACTTGCTCATGTTTCCTCAAGCTAGAGCCAGATTCGGAGCTGATGTCTAGCCTCATGCAACTTCATTTAACGGGATTGCATGGTTAATTGGGGCTAAATTTGTTCCGCTACGTGCTTAGAAGCACTGGCTTTGGCTCCAATACAAATGCAAGGGCTTAACCTACAGAGGCCAGCACTGTTTCTTCTTATTAAAAAAAAACAAACCCACCCCAAACATCAGCGGATCCAGTTATCGTAGAGCAAGGGGTCCCACCTATAGCTGTAGTAACTAGAAATCTTAAAGTGGCTAGGCCAATCCCTAGTTATTAGCAGAGAATTTTCATAGGTAGGAATAGAGGCATTGGATTAGCAGCATGAAAAAGAATTCTCTATGAGCCTCCGACAGAAGGCTTGACTCTGATCTCTTTTACGTGGTATTTTACTGGTGTAATTCAATGACTTCAGTGGAGTTACTCCTGGCGTACAGCAGTGGCTGGGAGATCAGAGTCGGGCCCTTTTTCTAACTGTCTGGCCCTGGCGACCAATTATGAATGGCCAGTTGTCTCAATTTATTACTTCTATTCCATCCACTGTTGAGAACGCCCTTCTGCTCAACAAAGATCGGACAGCCAGGCATCATGCGGCAATCACAATAATAATGACACTGGAAATAACCCGGTGAAATAAATACATAATTACTTATCAGCCTGGCTCAGTTAAAATAAGGGTTTAATTACTATCTGTCCCTGAGAACAGTATTTGACTAATAAATCCACCCTTCCAAAAACAAGAGACCAATTTGGCACTGCAGTACTTCAGTTCTTCACTGATGTAACGCCACAGAAATCATTGGGAAACTGGCATCCTGCCGTGCTGAATTAAGCCCATTATGTCTCCTTTCAGATACTCTGAATTGGCTTTGTATTAAAGCTGTAGAATGGGCTGCCAGCCAAAGCATGAATCTGAGTCCAGATACAAAAATATTACTGCATGAAAAACTAACCTCTACAATTCTCAGCCAGATGAACCTCTAGCCCTCCATCCACAGAAGGGATTTAGTTAGTGAGTGAAGATATTTAGCAGTATTTTCTAAACAAGGCCACCTGATCAGGAGACCCCTTTGATATCATTGGCTTTTAATAGATAGTTGTAAAGTTAATTAATTTGGGGGTGAGGGGTCCATTGCAACCCATTACCAATGTCTGTGACTGAGGCTAGGTCTACACTACCCGCCTGAATCGGCGGGTAGAAATCGACCTCTCGGGGATCGAATCATCGCGTCTCGTCAGGACGCGACAATCGATCCCCAAATCGACGCTCTTACTCCACCAGCGGAGATGGGAGTAAGCGCCGTCGACGGGAAGCCGCGGAGGTCGATTTTGCCACCGTCCTTACAGCGGGGTAAGTCGGCTGCGATACGTCGAATTCAGCTACGCTATTCGCGTACCCCCCCGTAGTGAAGACGTAGCCTCAGACTTTTGTCTCGAGGTTGTTGTTTCGAATCAAATTGAGACAGAAATTCTTATGAGTTGCTTTGAGCCCAGAAGTTGCTTCTGTGAAATGGAGTTGGGTAGGTCTTAGTCAAATTCTTAATGGACAAGTGTCTCCATCCAAACTAGCTTTTTTGGCATTTCCAATGGAGACACCAAGGATCAAATGGGACATAAAGACCAGACTTGCCTCTCAGAACTTTTAGGCAAACGTCCATTAAGGGAAAAGATAAGGCAACCCTAAGCTACTTCTCGCTTGTCAATGAAGCCCAAGTCAAAGCCAGGCTTGTGTGTCTTTCACCAGGATTTTATGAATTGGTGCAGATGAACTACGATTTAGTCTCTCATGTTCTGTCACATGGGTTTATAGCAACTCAGCCATGATTTCCTTTTCTGCTGCAACCTTAGCTAACAGCTCCGCCCACTAGCCAAAGCTCTAGTTTTGATGTTGAGGGAGGTCAGAAAATGGTTTGCATGGCATGGTGATGGGCCAGTGAACTTTTATAAAGATGGCAGGATTTGCTGTTTTGGAAACAGGATGTTCTTTCAGGCCAACCATATTTGCTGTCCAATAGGTCCAACCTTTCAATTTCACAACAGTACAAAAGCTGCCGCACAGTCCAGATCGCTGAATAGGGATGGACGTGTTCTTTCCTTTTATTCATGCAGTTTATGAACCATCATGTTTTCCAGGCAAACCAAAAGGCCATGGCCATTCCTACAGGACATTATTTAGAAGGTCTTTTGCAGACTCAGTTCCTTGGCAATTTACTACATTTCTCGTTTCAAGACACCCTAGAGGAATAGGCTACAAACCCCACTCTGTGTGGAGAGATGTCGTAAAAGCTTTACAGGCTCAGTAGCTGGAATGGGATTTTGTGTGTGTCCTTCACGAAATCTACAACATGGCAACCCCTCAGAAATAACAGCAAATTTAAAAAGTCAAATGGCAAGACAGTTCAAGCACAAGTCGCATCTAGGAATGTCTAGTCTTCAAAACACGCCATTGGGCTCAAAACAATCTCTCACCCAGCAGGTGAGGTTAGATAGAGCTGGCATGGTGAAGACCTAAGCCAACATCCTACTAAATGTTTGACCCTCCTGCCAGGCAATTACAAGTTGCAGATGGCAGCATGGTACCCCCACTTACAGAGGATTAGAAATCCAAGAGACGGACACTGAAGCCTTCTGGCTCCCCACAGACTGGTTTAAATTGGAAGAGACTGCTCCGATTGTCTTTTGCTTCCATCAGCGCTCAAATGGCCCAAGACTCAGAACAGGAGATGGTGAAGAGATGGTTTTAGCTCTGTGTTTGCTAGAGGATCGGCAGTTCAGTGAAGATAATCATTAATCATTTTAATTTTGCTTAATCCCTCTTGGCTTTATTCCCTCTCCTGAGGAGGACAGCCCCCTCAGTTGTCAGAATTATGTACTTCTGTGGCCTTGTGGGGGGAGGAATAACTCAGTGGTTTGAGCATTAGCCTGCTAAACATAGGGTTGTGAGTTCAATCCTTCAGGGGACCACTTAGGGAACTAGGGTAAAAATCTGTCTGGGGATTGGTCCTGCTTTGAGCAGGGGATTGGACTAGATGACCTCCTGAGGTCCCTTCCAACCCTGATATTCTATTCTCATTTACACTAACTGAGCAGTGGTATCAAAGATGACACAAAGTACAGGACAATGGAGAATCAGGCACCAAATAATTTATATACTCTGTTTCCTGGCATCTACTTTCAGTTCATCAGGCACCATCAGCCCACCCTGAAAGAGTTACCAGGTGATTGGAAACATGGTCTTCACATAATGCACTAAAGAAAGCAACTCAATGGAAGGAAAAACCTTGATTTATCCAGATGGACAAAAAGAGGCAGCCCAGAGCTAAGTTCACTGAGCTGTGCAAGAACCTCCAGACTCCATGACCACAACACACATGAAACACCTAGGTCATGAGCTAAACTGTAGCATTGGGCATACACCTCACATGCTTTTGTTCCAAAGCATGGGCTTCTGCTCAACAAGCTACAGGCACAACCAGATGTGAAACTCATGAACACTCCAGCCAGTAGAGGGCAGAGTTGTGCACAGGACGGCTTCTCATATTATTCCAACATACCCTCTAAGGGCTGACTCATACAGTGCTTGTTCTGTTTTCACACAGTGCTTTCTCAGGAGAAACTTCCATTGTTCTGAAGGGGAGTTTTGGCCGAGTAAGGGCCAGACTGACCCATTTACTCTCGTTGAGTAGTATTGGTTGAAGCCACTGACTGATTCTTGGTGTAACTGAATGTGAGTAAAGGTATCAGAAGTTACAGCTAGTTAAAAGAACCCACAAAGACATTTTTCCCCTAAATTTTTGAAATTTCCAAATTTACATTATTTCAGTCATCTCTCATCAGAAAACAAGAGAATGCATTTTTACAAACATTTCATCCCATTTTTCCCCCCAATATTTTTTTAAATCGAAAATTGTTGCCAAAATTTTGAAATTCTAATTTCCATCAATGCTATCAAAACCTGCCCCAAGAATGGACTGTGTAAGGATTACAAGATCTGGCTCTTAAAAAAGTAAGAACTCCAGGAAGACGAGATGGGACAAAGTGGAGGAACAGTGAAAAATGACACCATCTCTCAGGAACAAAGATGAAACAAGTTTATAGGGGGCCTACAAACCCACGCACACAGAGCAGAGACGATAGGGGATTACCCACATAGAACGCACCTTCTGCCTTTCAAGAATCACAAGGAAGGGGAAGAGCAACATCTCTATGTATTTCAGAGAGGAGGTAGATTAAACAGTGAAGAGCTCAGATTGCATGGCTGTTGATGGGAAGGAAGGGAGCAGGGAGCCAGCTGGAAACAAGAGCAAAACTTTTGGACACGAGATTGAAGAGAAACCTGAATGGTCTCAATGCTGCAGATCATTTTTCAACATGGCTACGCCGACAAATAAGACATCCCAGAGCAAACATCAGGGAGGAGTGCAAGCTGGCACAGATAAAAAGGAGGACAACTGTCCCCCCTTGGAACCGTCCTAGAATTGAACTCCAGACAAGGTTATTTTTCTTTTTGTGGTTCTGAAGCCCTTAGGTATTTCCCCCCCTTGCATCCAGTATCTGACCCGAACTAGACATGGTGACAGAGCAAGGAAGGATAATCTTGCGGTGCTAGTGGTGGCCACCAGAAACGCCAGAGAAGAACGAGCTTTTTCACCAGATTATCAACCCAATTTGTACGGGCTCAAATTCAGCCCCTCATTGCAGTTGGGCACCAAAGATGAATTTGGCCCATAATCCAACTGCGATATCTCCAAAGCTGATCCCAACGCTCAATTTTGGAGGCTCCTTCTCCTTTACCCCTTTGCAAGATACCATAGGCTCCATCCAAAGCGCACCTTCCACTGACTTCATTTGTTATTGTATCAGGCCCTATAGACTCCACCATCAGTTCTCTGCAACTCTTGCTTTCAGCACAGGTAGGATTTGAATAGGATTCAACAACAATACAGTATGATTCACTTTAAAACCAGACAAATTCCATTTTTTATGTTCTTAATTCTTACATGCAATTCTGTTCATGCATATGAACACTCAAAGGGAAAAAATTACTTATCATTACATACTATTTGTGTTGGAAATGATCAAGAATAGATTTCCCTCCCCATCTCCAGGTAATTTTTGGTCATGTTTAGCAACTGACAGCAGGTTCTGGTCATTAAATCCAGTGACAAATTTACATTTATTTATTATACACGTTGTCTTTACAAATAAATTAATTTCATAGCTCTTGTTAATTACTTGAACTTTGCTAAATGATTTCCAAACACGTTATTCATCTCGAGCTGTCTTCAGCAAACACGAGTAAATAATGAATCACCCCAGTAAGGAAACGTTGCTAAGTAATTTCTTTCTTTGAGTGACACAGTCACAAGGGTCGAGCGTCCACTTGGTAGGTTTTAAGCACAACACACGTCCATTGGGGATTGGAGGGGGGCAGATTGAAAGGGTCCATGCAAGGGTTGGAAAGCCAGAGCCAGCATACTTAATGCATCTCTCTCGAATTGGGATTACACATCGGCAGCTCGGCTGAATGGGATGCTAAATAACTCAAGTGTACAATGCTGACGGCTGACTGACAATAACTTCCGCTTCTTCCAATTCCCTCCAGAGGCTATGCCAGCATCTATGGCTAAGATGCAAGCAGTGAGCGCTTCAGACTGACCCAGATTTCTGCAATGTTGGCTTGCTCTCAGCGCCAGACTTTCACTCAGTCCATCCGTTTTTCCTTGCAAGATTACTTAATTTCTGCATAGTATTTATAAAAAAAAAAAAGCCCCACAACCAAACCGATTCACCCTTTGGAGACCTGACATTTCAATAGCTGCCATTCGGTGGTAAATTGCTAAGAATATTTGGACTTATTCTAACCACACAAAACAAAAACAAACATCAAAAATAAATATTGTCACCTTCCAACATTTGCCTCATTTATACCTGAAATGGGGAGTACAGTTCCTTCAGAGCCCTGGGGCGGGGGCGCCCTCTTGGTCACCACAATCCCCATCCCAGGTTCTGATCTGAAGCCCAGCAAAGTCAATGGGAGGCTTTCCATGGGCTTGGTCAGGCTTTGGATCAGGTCTTAACCTGAGAGGTGGTGCAAAGGCAGGTACAGGACACTTGAGGTGGAGTCAAGATACCAGCTGCTCTTCTCAGGGTCCCCCCACCAGACTCCATCAAGATAGGAGCTTTGGGAATGCCTTCTTAAGCCCCGAGAGGAGCAGTGGATTCAGTAGTCCATCTCTGGTGGTATGGATATGTCTCTGAATCACCAGTCAGCAAGCTTCTCTTTCTGACTATGTTTTGACTGCAGCCAGATGATTCCTATATGAGGCCAACACGATTCACATACCGGAAGCACTTCCAAAATGTACTATTATGGGCCAGATCGAGGCTTGAGAAACCACAGCTCGCCTCGGGGCATTGGGAGCCCAAGAAGGAATTTAGCCTGCCTCAGCCAGATTTCCCCCTGCGAGGCTCTGAGGAATGGCACACTGGAATGGCAGCTCTGTCATTATCACCTCGTGGCTCTAAATCATGGCATCTACAGAGACACAAAGCAATAAGCTCAGCTGGTGTGAAATGGCTTGAAGGAAGCTATGCCAATTTTCAGCAACCAAAGGTCTAACCCCTGGATTTTACCACTTGACTGCTGCTTAGCAGGCAAGTCAGATAAAAGTACCAGTGTGGGGGAACATCACCACCACCTACTTCCATGGTGACAGCAGGACATCGACAGAATCCACCAGCAAGGGAAATGGTAGATTGTGAAAATATATCCCTGATCCCTTTTCCCTGCCATTCACCCAGACTCTATCTTTACAGTTTTCCCTTTTTGGCCCATCACTGTGATGTCCGGATACTCGTTCTCAATAGGTAGTTTCAATGACCTCAGTGGAGCTACAACCGTACAACCATTTCCACCAGCTGAGGATATGGCCCACCCTACGTGTGCGTGTGTGTTCTTGATGGTCAAACCACAAAAAGTCTGGCAAGTTCGGCAGTGCACCCAGAAGTCTGGAATTCCGAAGTACCCAAATGCCTTGGCTCTGTAAAACTGGCCTGTACATCTCATGAGAACAGGCTGTCTCATCCAGCTCCCACTCCTTCCTGCTCCCGGCTGAGATAGGAATACTGCTACAACAGTCCCGCAGGATAGTTTGGCCTGCCCAGACCCAACAGGAAGCAGGAAATGCAGAGGTGAGAACGAAAAATAATTTAAAGATTTTAAGTCAATTTTCCTGAAATTCCAAAAAGAAAAGAAAGACAAGGTTTGAGTTGGCTTTACGGATGCACACACACACACCCAGGCAGCTGCAAACTTTCCTTTCCATCTCGACCCACTTAGAAGCAGACAGAATGGGCTTCTTTCTAAGATTGGACAAGCTAATGCATTACATTCCGATACTTGCATTTTAATCCTAGGATTGTACTGGCCTCTCGCTTGTCGCTTGGGCTCTGGGTAGGAGAACGGGAAGCCCATTCGGCACTCGCATCCAGTAGCTGGGAGTCATTTATCACAAAAGCACGCTGCATCATCAAGGAATCAGAATTAAGGCCCCTCCGGCAGGGAACTTGCACACAATGACCCCCAGGGGTTGGGTTTTATAACGAAGGGGCAAAACCATCAAACCAGAGCTGTCCGTGCTGTGTTCTTGAACTGGCAGACATGGCCAGTGGGACTCAGCCAGTCTGGTGTGGGTGATTGTAGGGCAGCTAGACTTCTTTAAAACGAATGAGAAAACCAAACCCAACCAAGCAGTGATGGCAACACCCTGGAGTAGCTTGCACCACTGAAAGAAAATGGTGTGTCACATTCCTCACCAGACTGTCTCGTTTCACTTGGTTGAATTCCCTGCATCTTTGTGCTGTGGACACTCTCTGAGAGGCGAAACTACAGAGTATCATTTGTACATCCCCTTGTAAACTCTGAATATCCCCGTTGTTCAACAGGTCACAAGGACCGTGGGTCTGGAGAAGACTGCCTTCATTCACACCTTGAAGACTAGACCACTACGTAAATGTGTGTGATCAACAGCTGGCCACATCTGTGGTCCACTTTTCCCATATAACTTGACCTCTTGTTCTACAGAACAGAGAAACTGTATGAAAACCCTTGGCATCTGATTTGTGGCCTGGCATTCTTTTGCCCACTAAACGCTCTCTGGGAAATGTCTTCTTCTTCTTTCTTTACATCACTGTCTCTCTTTCTTCTTCAACAAGTACCGTGGGTCTGTCTCCGTCATAAAGTCCAGAGCCGTTCAGGTACTCCTCTTCTTTGTTGTACTGCTCTGGCCCAGAAGAAGGCATGGAGTTTTCAGAAATTGAGCCATTTTTGACATAGCCTGGCAAATTTCGGTGTCCGTTGAGGGCACCCGGTACAAGTCTCGTATTGAGATGTAGGGCTAGGGCCCCTCTGGTGGTTACATTAGTGATGCTGGTATGGGAGACCATGGGTCCATAGCTATAGGTCGTGCTCCCACTTCGTGCTTTCCTTTTAAAGTCAAGGGCTAAAGTCCACCTGCTCCATGACTTCTTTATTTCGGCTTGAACCTGAAGAGATGGAGAGAAAAGAGAGGGAAGATCGTGAGTGAGGAATGAAGGGAAGAATGGTGTGGGATGACGCTGGCAACTGGGCTACAGAAGGAGGTAGTGTTGATAGAGATACCTGCCTGTGGGATTAATAGGAGTAATGGGATTCAAATGGGGACAAAGGGATTGTTATGCTGGATATCATGAACCACCCCTTAGTGGCAGGATAAATGAGACTGTGGAATGGTCTGCTGAGGACAATGGCGGAAGTCCCATTGCTTGCACCATTTACCACTCGACTGGGCCAAGTGGCAGCCTGGGATGGACTAGAAGGCCTGTTGGGTCTTTCCCATCTCTCAGCTGGTATAAATGGGCACAGCTCCCCTGACTTCAACGGACTCTGGATTGACTTCAGTGGACATAGATTCATTTACACCACCTAAGGATCTGGCCCTATTATGTGTCCCTAACTGATTGGCGCTCTCTCTCCTTCACTTTATCGCTTTCTCCTGGTGGAAGATGCGTGACCTTCCCCTCCAGATTTCCCTTCCCAGCTGCCTATTCGGAGTCCTCTTTGAGCCGTAAGCAACCAAACCACTGCCTGCTAGGTAAAACTCTGAAAGGCTCGGTCCCAAAGGAAGCCACCATGTCTTACCGCAAACTCTTTAAAAAAGTATAGCAAACTTCCGGTATATTGGGATCATTCAAACCGTTTGTTCTCCATATGCAGTCTATCCCCCCCCAAAAAAACCCTGGCCAATCAACCAACCAGCCAACAACACCCAGCCCATAATTTAGAGCCAGCGTTGGTAACACACAGTGTAGTAATCAGTGGTCCCGTCTGACCTTAGAATCTCTTAATCTTGAGTGAATGTTTTTACCATGCCACATGGCAGTTGCTATCAGGCCATGATGAATGTTTTTCCATTAGGCTTTCTTAGCTAGGCCACTAGTTTTGTTCTTTGCCTCGTGTCCCGTTGCAGCGTTAGTATTTAAATCAAACACTTGTTCTGGACTAATATGGAGATTTAGGATGACAGAAAGTCATTATCCAGATTGGAACGTGGCCAGGACGCCTGGGTTAATACCTCTACTCTCCAGAAAAAAATGCCCTTGGATTCTGAATGGCTACAAGTTGGCACGGCCTGGGTTTTATACTCTCTCCAAAGAGCAGCAATGTCAACAGCAAAACTGGAGTGAAGATCTACAAGAAGAACGAGCGATCTGCAAAATATGCCTTATTGCGAGAGATTGCGGGAGCTCAATCTATAGGTAGCGTAGCAAAGAGAATGTGAAGAGGCAAGTTAATCATGGTCCGTTAAGTACTGACAAAGGGAGAAGGTATCAGGTAGCAGAAGGCTCTTTAATCTAGCAAAACAAGATCTAATGGCTGGAAGGTGAATCAGCGGTGTTCAAACTGGAAACAATATGCCCATTTTTGACACAGACTGTAATTAACCGTTGGAATAGCTCACCAAGGGATGGGGTGGATTCTTGTCATTTGGAGTTTTTCCATTGAAACTGGATGTCTTTCGAAATGATTACGCTCTATTTCCAACACAAACTACTGGGCTTGATGTAAGAATCGCTGAGTAAGGTTCACTGGCCTGTGTTATGCTGCAGATGATCATAGTGGTCTGTTCTGGCCTCAATCCCTATGCATTTTACCAGAGAGTAAAATGGTAGCCTGGTGAATCAACTCCACCTGAGCTCTCCCTGCTGCTCCAAGAAGAACTACAAACAACAGTCCCCCAGAATGGGCACTGCTGATGATGCAGGAAAAGAGTGTGAGTTACCAGAAGGTTTAGAGGCTGGTGAAGTAACTCAACATTAACAAGTAGTGGGCTACGTTTCACAGGCAAGATAATAATGGCACTTACATAGCCCTGTGTAGAGAGCAGCAGAGCTTCTCCCAGAAGAAGCCGTGGGAAGACTGGGCCCAGGCAGACATCTCACCTTGTCCAAGAAGGACAAGAAGCAATGGGCTTAAACTGCAGCAAGGGCGGTTTAGGTTGGACGTTAGGAAAAACCACCTGACTGTCAGGGTTGTTAAGCACTAGAACAAATTGCCTAGGGAGGTTGTGGAATCTTTGTCACTGCAGGGTTTTTAAGAACAGGCTAGACAAACGCCTGTCAGGGATGGTCTAGTTATTATGTAGCCCTGCCTTGAATGCAGTGGACTGGACTAGAAGACCTCTCAAGAGCCCTTTCAGTCCTACACGTCTATGATTCTAAGAGTGCCCTCTTTGCTCCAGTCATTCAGATGGACTCAACTGTCATCCCAATGTACCATCCCCACTGTGCTAAAAGAGTGGGGGCTCGGCCTCCCTGCCTCCAAGAATCTGCAAGCGGGGAGGAAGCGAGCAGATCTGGAGTTCCCCAAAAGCACAGGGATTGCTGCTGTGAGAGGCTCTTCCATATGGGCTGCCAATAATCTTCCCCTAAATGGCTCAGATGGTATGCGCCTGATTCTCCACCATCTTGTCCTTGGTGCTCTCATTTACCCTGGTGCAGAGGGGGACATAAAACATTACCAGATCAGAGCAGTCATGTTTTATACCCAGTTTGAACCGATTCTCGTTTGGTAGCATTTTAGATCCACTTCACCCAGGGGGAAATGACTAAGTAAGGTGCAAAGCAGTGGAGACATTTCTATACCTAGGGTCTAATTCTCTGCTTGCCTAACTCCAGTGACCTCAGTAGAGTTAACCCCAGTGGGACTAGCTGACTGTAGATATTTGGACTCTATTTATAACGAAAGAGGATCATTAAGAACCAAAGACACTCACCTCTCCATTGCAAAAACAGTATATGATGGCAACAAAAAATCCCTGGAAAGAAGATGAAACAACACATTAGCATTTATCCTGCTGCAGCTCAATGTCTATTCACTGAAACCGTGGCCCAAATCCACATAGTTTCACTGATGGCAATGGAGCAACACCAGTTTACCCCAGCTAAAAACCAGCGCAAACTAGGAAAACTCCTGTTGTCTAGCAGCCTACAAGAAACGGGTGACAATGACTGTCCTCCAGGCTAGCGGCTAACCAGCGTTTAAAGCATCCTGGCTGGCTGGCTGGCACATCTGTCCTAGGCTGCGTTAGAAAATGCACATTTGTTTCCTGTTGCAGATGTCCTGTAAAGGCTTTGGAAGAGCAGCTGCTCACCACTGTCCCAGGTCATTTTCCTGCCCTGGGAAAATTTTCAAGCTTTCAGAAATGTGCCTGTTTCGCATCAGGACAAACCCGAGACCTTTAGAATTTTTTTGCAGAAAACCCCAGAGCTCTCAGAAGATCCCATAGCTCATGTGATGAGGGCACTTAGCATGGAGGTAGAAGTCCCACGTTCAAACCCTTACTCTGAACCAGGCAGAGCAGGGACTTGCACCCCAGTCTGCTATGTCCCAGGTGAGCGGCCTAATCGCTGCGTCTATGGAGTACTCTGGGGTGGGGCTCTCTCACACTCGCTTGTTGGAGATGTTCCACTTTGTATAAATAAATATTCGGGGGGAAGTGGGGAGAGACTGACTGTATAGTCCAGTGTCAGGGCAGACATAGAATCATAGAATATCAGAGTTGGAAGGGACCTCAGGAGGTCATCTAGTCCAACCCCCTGCTCAAAGCAGGACCAATCCCCAACTAAATCATCCCAGCCAGGGCTTTGTCAAGCCTGACCTTAAAAACCTCTAAGGAAGGAGATTCCACCACCTCCCTAGGTAACCCATTCCAGTGCTTCACCACGCTCCTAGTGAAAAAGTTTTTCCTAATATCCAACCTAAACCTCCCCCACTGCAACTTGAGACCATTACTCCTTGTTCTGTCATCTGCTACCACTGAGAACAGTCTACATCCATTCTCTTTGGAACCCCCTTTCAGGTAGTTGAAAGCAGCTATCAAATCCCCCCTCATTCTTCTCTTCTGCAGACTAAATAATCCCAGTTCCCTCGGCCTCTCCTCATAAGTCATGTGCTCCAGCCCCCTAAACATTTTTGTTGCCCTCCACTGGACTCTTTCCAATTTTTCCACATCCTTCTTGTAGTGTGGGGCCCAAAACTGGACAGTCAGTTGGGATGTGGGAAATTCAGGATCAGATGAGATGAGAAGCCAGTTCTGGGACCCAGTCATGCATTCCCTTTGCACCCAAATGGGAGTTCTGGGTGTGCAAAGAATGCAGGGCCAGGTCCTCCCATGTCAGGTCCAGTCTGAATCTGCACCTCCCCGCACTTTGGATCCAGAGTTTGTCTGAGCCCAGCTCTAATTTGCCAGCTTCATGTCAGCCACGCTAGTCAGTCACTTAAGATTTTAAACTGTTGGTCAGTAGGTTGTCCTTAAGGGAGGGCTGTGCAGTGTGCATGCAACACAATGTTCATCAGATGGCTGCACTCATTTTGGCTAAAAGATCCCAGTCCTGCACTCAGATCCGCATTATACCCCTGCTTATCATCGACTTCAGTGGGGTGCTGCGGTTCATGTCAGCGGATCCGTTTGTAGGACTAGGACAAGCTACTTTGAGGCCAGCTGGCTTAAATCCATGCAGCTCTCTTGACCTATCCCTGCTGAGGATGTAACCTGGATCTCAAGGGATTTGGGTGGACAAATGATCGTAAAACGATTACATTTTTTGCCTGACACATTGTCCCAAAGTACCCTAACACGGTTTGCAAATACATAATACCGCCAGCACCAAAGTACATCCATTAAGTCTTGGGAGTGTAACTTGGCACCGATTAAAAATCCTTTCTCCCAAAACAGAACACATTTGATGTCCACGTTCCGTCCCACCGAATACCACTACTTTGTCCTTAAAATGCCTAGAAAGCTTAACAGGGTACAGTACCTGGAAAGAGTTGAACAGCATTTCATAGTGCATTTGAACTTGCCAAAGAATCCCTGACACCTCTGTATATGGCAAAGCCATGAAAACTATATAGTGAACTCCAAACAGAGGCATAAGGACAAGGGTAGATTTCAGCAGCTTCCTGTAGGAACAGGAGAAGGAGAGAAACACATGGAGAAAGTCATGAGTCTGAATTATCCTCTGGGTCTCCTTAGGGTCTGGATTGAGGCAAGGTGGTGAAATGGTGCTGGGGCCGGGGGGGCTGAGGGGGGGGGAGGGGAGCTTGCACCGCTGCTGCCCATGATGTGCCCGATTGTGGATATCCAGTCTCCAGGCCCATCAAGCCAGTACCTTCCACCAGCAGTAAAAATCCCTGTAAACGAAGGATGGTGCTGCTCCATATCTTGGGCCAGCCTGCCTGTGCTCAGAGGGGACAAGGAGGGAGACTTCCAAGACCGTGCCACGCTTGCTTCCCGTGGGCACTGGCATCCTTGACGGGGGATGGAATGGAGGAGATCAGCAGATGCGGACCTCGGCTAGCTGGGGGCACTGGAGAGAGAATGCCACGCCATCCTATGGAATGGGGCAGCTCATCTGCTGTCACCTTGTGTTTCCCTGGGGTGTAATGTGCGCTGGAGGCCCCCTAGATGGAGGTGCAACTCCACCTCAGCAGGAGCCTGTGCGCCTTAGCTACAACCCAGACCCTAACGTTTGGCTGGGTTCATCCCTCGAATCCCTAAGGGAACAGACACTGCCTGGAAATGATGCCGATCCAGGGATCGAAACCACTGCCAATGGTGACGGCAATTGCCAAATGGAGGCAATTAGCAAGGGGGCAGCGTTGCCAGGAGGCCCGGTGCTTTCGCTGGCCGCCGACTGACAATCTCTGCAGGGATTAAAAAATAAAAAGTGCTGAGCCCGTCCAAGCCATAATTAATAGCAAGCCTCTCCGAGCGAGAAATAAACAAACAGATCAGTCACGGCTGTGACATGGCAGCAAAACAAACCTTTGCATTTTGAAGCCAAATTCCAGCCCCACTTCCAATGAAACATAGAATCGTAGGACTGGAAGGGACCTCGAGAGCTCATCTAGTCCAGTCCCCTGCACTCACGGCAGGACTAAGTATTATCTCATTTTTGGATACTCTTCTGGGAGCAAGCTGGTAGAGGCGACCTGGGAATCCTGCTTTTCAGTGATACCAAACTGAATTATTTTGCTCTCTCTCCTCTGGATGTTGTGTGCTGAATCATTTGAACTTGAGCCTACAAACGCCCTGGGAGTTCTCTAGCTGCGGAGGTCTCTCAGCTATTTACTTTCACAGTCAAACTTTGACTATGTTGCAAATATGCTTCATTGTCAAGGGGAAAGGAATGGAAAAAAAACAAAAACCCAAACAGACAAGAAAACCCAAGACGGAACTCCAAACTTCCTGTGAATAGTTAGGAATCTTTATTCACTTGAGCAATTGCAGGTCAAGGTTGCGAAAACAAGGGAGGGGAAAAGTATAAAAAGGAAGGATGGGATTTTACGGTACAGCCAGGGCCTTTTGCTTTATGCAGTTGGTTCAAAGTCAACCTAGGGCAGTCGCCAGGGCCGGCTTTAGAAACTGCGGGGCCCAATTCGAATACCCGGCGGCGGTCCGGGTCTTCGGCGGCACTTTGGTGGTGAGGGGTCCTTCACTCACTCCGGGTCTTCTGCGGCACTGAAGGACCCCCCGCCGCCGAAGTGCCGACGAAGACCCGGACTGCTGCCGGATGAGTAAAAAAATTAAAAAGGCGCCTAAGGCGCGGGGCCCTCTTAGGCACAGGGCCCGATTCCGGGGAATCGGGGGAATCGGCCTAAAGCCGGCCCTGGCAGTAGCGATCGAAAATCATTAGTATTAATTATTTGGGTCATCACGGTAAAATACGGAGGCGCTACGGTAGTGAGATCGGGACCCTATTGTGCTAGGCTTTGTGCAAACATAACATAACAGACAGCCCCTGAACTCTAAATAGACAAGGCAGACAAAGAACAGAACTTCCCCAGCGTCACACGGTAGAGCCAGGACTAGAGCTGAGGTGTCCTGAGTAGCAGCCCAGGGCCCTAGTCACTGGACCAGACACTCCTACTACCCAACAGCTGTTGGTGGTCTCCTCAACAGATGGTGTATGTGTCCACATCACAAATACCACTGTCATCGTTAGCCCGCGATGGCCATGCCAGCAGACAGGCCATGAGCCAAACTGACCTTGGAGGCTGAACTCACCTCAGCCTATCAGCTGGTCCCTCCAGGCTAGGATCTACCCTCCTTAAGGGAGCACTGAGAGGAGGCTTGCAATGCCCCAGTCCGCCATGCGCTGCTGCTCCACCGGAACTCTGCTGGCTCGGTGGAAGGCAGAAGGAGCATGGCAGTGACTGAGGCTGCATGTGCGTTGTCCCTGCTCTGCAAGGGATTAGGAGACTTTGATCTCCCAGGCTGTCAAGCCCATCCTGTGCGTCTCGCTGTCTCGTGCCGGAAGGGAAAGGGGACTCTCACCTGTACTGTTGTCTCGTATCGCACCTCCCTGCGTTGGTCTCCCGTAGCTTGGTTGCTAGGACTCGGATAATATTGATAAAAAGAATAAAATTTACCTGGAAAAGAGAAATATTTTTTTTTTTAAATCACAAAACCAAAACCTGCGGCGCTACCGGATCGAGATGGCGCCTTTCCCCAGGGCCCCGTCCTCCCAGATGTTTCCAGAGAGCATCCTCAGCTCCTACTGGAGGAGGTGACGGTACACAGCTCCTTCACAACCAGCTCAGCAATTTAGCAAGCTCAGGCCAACTGTGTCTGAGCTGAGTGCTCTCTGCTTGATCTTGTGCCACGGAGATAAGGAAGGGCCACCTCTTTTATTCTGGTCCCTAGCAGACCTCATCTCGTCCAGCTTTGTTATTGTCTCATGGTGGTAACAGGCATGTGTGACAAGCTCTATATAGGCACTTCAGGTAAAATTCACGCCGGAGCAAAGAGCCCAAGCAACGGCCACAGCCCTATTTAAAAACCACGTGACTAGCGGGAATTTTTCAACGGAAAATGCTGATTCGTCCAAACCAAAACTTTTCCTGGAAACGTATCGGTTTGAATGAAGGTTTCCCAGCTGCAGGATGGAACTTTTGGTCAAAACCAGAGAGAAAACCAAAACCATCTCCCAGAATAGCCAATAGCTAGCCCCTCACCTGGGAGATAGAAGACCCAGGTTCAAGCCCCTCCTCCACATTGGGATGAGCATGGAGGCAAAACCCCCTCCCACTCCTAAGCACGAGGCTATAGAGTCAATTACTCTCTTTGTCCCAGTGAACATGTAGTTATTTACAGACAGTAGAACAGCTCCAATAGGAGAGAATGAAAGAAAGCCTGACTCCAGAGCCCAGCAGGGTAGGGCACTTGCCTGGGGTATGGAAGACCCATGTTTTGGAAGTTCTCTTCTTCACCCCAATGACGACAAAAGATTTCAAAACCTGGGAATTGTTCACAAAGTGGAATTTTTGTTTTCCGGCCAGCCCTACTTCAGTGAGCTTTGATGGCGCATTGAGGTGAATTTTGTCTTTCCACCATGCTCGTCACTAGGGCCCGATCAAATTCACGGTCCATTTTGGTCAATTTCACGGTCAGAGGATTTTTAAAATCGTAAATTTAATGATTTCAACTCTTTAAATCTGAAATTTCATGGTGTTGTAATTGTAGGGGTCCTGACCCAAAAAAGGAGTTGTGTGTGTGTGTATGTGGAGGGGGGTTGCGGTACTGCTACCCTTACTTCTGCGCTGCTGCTGGCGGCAGCGCTGCCTTCAGAGCTGGGCAGCTGGAGAGCATCAGCTGCTTGCCCGGAGCCCAGCTCTGAAGGCAGAGCCGCCACCAGCAGCAGCGCAGAAGTAAGGATGGCCTGGTATGGTATTGCCACCCTTACTTCTGCGCTGCTGCTGACGGGGCGCTGCCTTCAGAGCTGGGTGCCCGGCCAACATCTGCCGCTCTCCAGCCACCCAGCTCTGAAGGCAGCGCAGAAGTAAGAGTGGCAATACTGTGACACCCCTAAAATAACCTTCTGACCCCCCTGCAACTCCCTTTTGGGTCAGGACCCCCAATTTGAGAAACACTGGTCTCCCCCGTGAAATCTGCACAGTATAGGGTAAAAGCACACAAAAGACCAGATTTCACAGTGGGAGACCAGATTTCACGGTCCATGACGCGTTTTTCATGGCCGTGAATTTGGTAGGGCCCTACTCATCACTGAGCAACTGAGTGCCTCAAAATGGCTGAAAGAACAGAACCTTTCAAACAGGTGATTGAAATTCAGCCAGAAGTCTGAATGACTCTCCCTCCCCCCCACCAGTCAGGTGCCTCTAAATCAGGATCAAGGCCTGTTGGCAGGACAAGGTGGGATGGGGGCAGCTTGCACGGCCTCTGCCCTTGCTGGACCTGCTCTGTGCATAGGGGATTTTAGTCTCTGTGGCTGTCAACCCAGCATCTTTCAACAGCCTTTAAAGCAAGTTCAAAGATAGATCACGAGAAATGCGGTGAGAAGGAAAAGCAATAGGGAAAGGGACAAAGTATCTTCATGGGCTAGGGCTCTGTGTGAAACTGGTCTACATTTTCCTGCAGAGTTTATTACTTGGGCCTAGGGGCCTCAGCGGAGATCAGGGCCCCCCTGTGCTAGGGGCTGTACAAAGGCAGTCTCTGCCCTGAAGAATGTGAAATCTAAATAGACATGAAAGACTACAGAGGGAGGAACGGGAGTCTTATTACTGCCATTTTAAAGATGGATACATGAGGCGCAGGGAGGTAACTGGCAAATCTTGGCCCCATTGACTTCAACGGAGCCAGGATTTCACTCTTAAGTGACGGACCCAAGGTCACACAGAAAGTCTGGGCAGAGGCAGGAATTTCACTCAGAAATCTTGACTCCTAGCTTTGCCACAAGGCCATCCTTTCTCTCCAGCTAACAATGGCTGAGCCATTGGACCGTTTGTTTCTTTGCAGTCCTTCATCAGACCTTGTATTTCCTGATTGCTACTGTATTGCCACAGAACCCGTGATCCCAATCTGAAGGAAACAAGGAAGGAAATTCCTCTTGTTTTCCCTGAAACACCAGCAAAGCTTTGAAGGAAATGCGAACAACTGAATGACTTCCAAGTTACCAGTGCAGTGGAGGGACTTTAAGCCCCTAACACCCAGAACTGTCTGAGAGCTCATCCAGAAAATGCAAAACTTTGTCCAGAAACAGATGACAAGCCAGTGCGGGGACTGAAAAAGCAGCCATGTGTGCAATAGGAACCCACAGAGACTAACCGGAAACAACCCACAGAATATGTTTGCACGATAAACAGTTGCATTTGTAAATAGCCCTGTAGAACCTCATGAAGAAGCATTCCCTTTACCAGGACAAACTTCTATTCGGCTCTTTGTCGTCTACTAATCGGGCTTTAAATTAAATGCACTGGGGTTGCTGGCAATCAACCACTTGAACTATCTGAACTGTGTCTTCCGTCCTACAGTTTTATTTCAAATGATCATTGTGTGGTCTTGGCACTTTGTTCCTTCCAATGCACAGAAGGAACCACCAGAGCCAGTTGGAGAATTTCCGTCGACACAAAATTTTAACAAAATAAAAAATAATTTCCTGGATCAACTCTACTAATTACATGTATTAGCCCATTTACTGCAGAAGGTTCCAATGCAGAAGGCCTGATTCTCCTCTCACCCACACTGCTCTATCCCGTGATTTGTAAGTCAGAAGAATCAAGGCCATTCGGCCTGATTCAAAGCTCTCTGAAGTCAGTGGAAAGACTCTTGAATTCAAGATGCTGGAAACACCTTGAGGACAAGTGCTCAGCACTGTCTGAAAATCAGGTCCCTTTATGACGTGTCAAGTCAGACGCCCGCAAAGTTGAGCCCCCACCCCAAAATCACTGGTCACTTGCAAATCCTGACCTATGTGTTTATTTTATTAACAAGTTTGGGATCACAGGCTGAGTTTCTCTCTTCCATCCCCCTCGCCAGCCCAAATCAAATCCGGTACTCACCACAATAGCTACCAGGAGGGGCACCTGAAATATCCATTGTAAATTGCTGGCACTCAAGTCCCAACACCTAGGAAGAGATTGGCAACACATCAGTAAATCCTCATCTGCCCAGGCAAATAGCCCCAATGTCTGAAAACGGGAACCCTTCAATGTCCTATGCATGTGCGGAACCAACCCAACCCCAACCCCAACCCCAACCCAAGCCATCCCTTCCCCATCCCATCAGCAATGATCGGCATCGAAACGGGCCTCCTCTTAACCCTACCGTCTGCTTTTAAAAGCCAATTTTAAATGTATTTTAAATCTTAGGCCCAGATCCTCAAAGGTATTTAGCGCTTAAGCTGCATTGAAATCTGTGGAAGTTGGGCATTACTCTTGGCAGATTTCAGGGACTTGCTCTTTTAGCATTGCGAAGGCTTGTGTCCAATCCTCTTTGAACTGGAATTCTGCACCCCAGTCTGTAATGGCCAGGGTGCAGCAAGCCGTATTGGGATTCATAGAATCATAGACTATCAGGGTTGGAAGGGACCTCAGGAGGTCATCTAGTCCAACCCCCTGCTCAAAGCAGGACCAATTCCCAACTAAATCATCCCAGCCAGGGCTTTGTCAAGCCTGACCTTAAAAACCTCTAGGGAAGGAGATTCCACCACCTCCAGTGCTTCACCACCCTCCTAGTGAAAAAGTTTTTTCTAATATCCAACCTAAACCTCCCCCACTGCAACTTGAGACCATTATTCCTTGTTCTGTCATCAGGTATCACTGAGAACAGTCTAGATCCATCCTCTTTGGAACCCCCTTTCAGGTAGTTGAAAGCAGCTATCAAATCCCCCTCATTCTTCTCTTCTGCAGACTAAACAATCCCAGTTCCCTCAGCCTCTCCTCATAAGTCATGTGTTCCAGCCCCCTAATCATTTTTGTTGCCCTCTGCTGGACTTTTTGCAATTTTTCCACATCCTTCTTGTAGTGTGGGGCCCAAAACTGGACACAGTACTCCAGATGAGGCCTCACCAATGTCGAATAGAGGGGAATGATCACGTCCCTCGATCTGCTGGCAATGCTCCTACTTATACAGCCCCAAATGCCGTTAGCCTTCTTGGCAACAAGGGCACACTGTTGACTCATATCCAGCTTCTCGTCCACTGTAACTCCTAGGTCCTTTTCTTCGTTTCCTTAGGCCTGGCCTACACACAGAAGTTGCACCGATCTAACTAAAGGCGGGATTTTAAACCAGTACAAAGCCCTGTGTGGACATACTTAAACTGGTTTAAAACTGGTTCCATCAGTTTAGCTCGTGCTTGCAAATTTACCAACACTAGTCATTAATTACACAGGCTTCAATTAAAGTTAAGAGTGTCCACAGAGGGCTTGAACTCAATTGGCTTTAAAAATCATACCTATAGTTAATGCTTTGTGTGTAGACGAGGCCCAAGTGAATGCTGCGGTGGTAGAAGGTGCTGTCCTGGCTGCCCTGCAGGATGAAGCGCTCTGTTGAGAACAACTGCATGTATCTCCTCATGCTGCTCTGCCAATGAGTCTCAACCCTACTCTGCAGGAGGTTCAATCTCCTGGCCTAGCCAATCCTTGGCCTCTCTGCTTTGGCTGCCCATAAGGGGAGGGGGCATTGATTGAGGTGGTGGGTTTTCTGATGTGGTCACCTCTCTGCTGGGAACTGGACAGAGGCCTCCAAAGATATTTTATATAGGCCACTGAGTGAGCCCGTCCGATGGTAATCATGGCTTCACACCGCCGCTGCTGTGGACTGGATGTGCTCCAGCAATCAAGAAATGAAAGGGTCTGTAGCCCTCTGCTGGCACCACACCACAGCAGTGGTTTTCACGTCCGGGGCCAGCGTCTGTTCCGTGCGGATGTTTGAGGAGAGCAAATAAAAGGGGTGGTGACAGCCCCGACAGGAGCGGAAGATTTTTACACGGTCAAGGTGACGAGGGATATGTTGTCCTCTAATGAGCTGAGTGGTGATCTAAGTCACATGCACTGGGGCGTGCAGTTAGGTTACCCTTTGCTCGTAGGATAGGAACGTACTTGTAGCATGGTTTCAGATATGGATGTATATCATGCATGCAAACTATGCTGCACAGCACGATATCAGGTTCGGTTCCATTTTAAAACAAGGAGCTACTGGGAGGGGCGGGGGGGGAGGGGAAGCTACAGCCCCCCCCCACACCCAGTGCCCGGAGAGGCTTTGACTGAAAAGGTGGCAAATTTCAGAAGTTAGCGTTAAGTATGTTCAGCTTATGCTGAAATTGGCAGTGGGTTTGGGGGTGAGGGGGCTGAGCGTAGAGTAGCTGCCTTGTGCTATTTCAACTGGCTAGTGTGTTAGACCAACACCTGTCCAGGATAATCTAGGTATGCCTAATCCGCAGCAATGGGGGGATGGGTAAAATGACCTCTCAAGGTCCTTTTCAAAAGGTTTCAATGTCTGTAGAGCAGTGGTGGGCAACCTGCGGCCCGCAGGCCGCACCCAGCCCATCAGGGTAATCCGCTGGTGAGCCGCCAGACAGTTTGTTTACATTTGCAGGGCTGCCCGCAGCTCCCGGTGATCGTGGTTCGCCGTTCCTGGCCAATCGGAGCTGCGGAAAGTGGCATGGGCCACAGGGACGTGCTGGCCGCCGCTTCCTGCAGCTCCCGTTGGCCGGAAAAGGTGAACCGCGGCCACTGGGAGCTGCGCGAAGCCATGCAAATGTAAACAAACTGTCTGGCAGCCCGCCAGCGGATTACCCTGATGGGCCGCTGGTTGCCCACTGCTGCTGTAGAGGAAGGAGAAAAAGTACTAAATACGATGAAGAATGGTAAAGCAACTGGTGAAGATAAGTGCTGATATGTTCAATGCAGCTGGAGATATTGGAATCAAGTGGCTTCACAGGTTACTACATGTTTGCTGAGATCAACCTGGGATATCCGATGAGTGGAGAACAAGATTGACTGTGCCTCTTTGGAGGGGTAAAGGTGATCCAAATACCTATCGGGGCATCACCCTGTTAAGACAGCCTCTTAAAGTCCTTGAGAGAGTTTTGGAGGTCAGGTTGAGGTGCGAGGTGGAGGAAAACATAGGAGAGGAGCAACATGGCTTTGGGAAGGGAAGGAGTACTATAGACATAGTATTTGCATTGAGATGTAAGTTTGACAGCATGGTAAATGGAGGGCATAACTGCTATGTAGCATTTATTGAGCTTGAGAAAGCATCCAACAAACAAGAGGAAGTACTTTTTCACACTCTCTACAACTAATCTGTGGAACTCATTGCCATGGGATGTTGTGAGGGCCAAAAGTATAACTGGGTTCAAAAAAGAACTGGATAAGTTCATAGAGGATAGGTCCATCAATGGCTATTAGTCAAGATGGTCAGGGAAATAACCCCATGCTTGGGGTGACCCTAAACCTCTGATTACCAGAAGCTTGGAGGTGAAGATGGGGTGGACCACTCCATAATTGCTCTGTTCTGTACATTCCCCCTGAAGCTCTGATATAGGCCACTGTTGGAGACAGGATATTGGGCAAGGTGGACCATGGCGTGACCTGATATGGCGGCTCTTATGACTCAGTTCTTCGGGGGTTGGTGTTTGGAGTATTGAGATGGGTGGGAGGGGAACTTCAAGAAGTGGAGATGATAGAGGAACTGTACTGAGGGTCAAGAGCTAAGTGGGTAACAAACATGGAATTTCAGAGATTTTTGAGGTGACAGGGGCATTGAGACAAGGTAGTGTGCGGAGTCCACTTCTCTTCATCCTCATTATGGAGTTAATTAGTCAGAGAACCAAGCCTGTTGAGACACAGAGTAAACTAATGTATGCTGATAATCTGGCCCATTTGGCTGACAGCAAAGAGGGAGTGGTAAATATGGTATCAGAATGGGTTGAAGCCCCACCCAACCAAATCTGTGGTTGAAGGTAAACACATAGAAAACGGAAGTTGTGCAAGTAGGGGAAGTGGAAGAACATCTGTTGATTAAAGTTTCTGGAGAGAAGCTGAATCAGAAGAAAGAAGTTGTACGCTTGGGAAATACATATAGTGCTATTGGAGAGATAAAGATCTGGGGAACTGAACAGAAGAGCTCAGTGTGCGTGGGCGGCAGTGAAAAAGATGGCAGGAATATTGTGGGACCGGCAATTAAGTAACAAACTGAAAGGAAAAGTGTGCGCTGCCTGTGTTTGTCCCTGCCTTTTTTTATTAATGGAGATAGCCTATCTCCTAGAAGTGGAAGGGACCTTGTAAGGTCATCAAGTCCAGCCCCCTGCCTTCACTAGCAGGACTAAGTACTGATTTTGCCCCAGATCCCTAAGTGGCCCCCTCAAGGATTGAACTCTCGGTTTGGTAGGCCAGTGCTTAAAGCACTGAGCTACCCCTCCCCCCTTAAAGGCAGAAAGCTCCACGAACCACCAGGGCCTTAGACATGTAGATCAAATCATAGAATATCAGGGTTGGAAGGTCATCTAGTCCAACCCACTGCTTAAAGCAGGACCAATCCCCAGACACATTTTTGCCCCAGATCCCTAAATGGCCATCTCAAGGATTGAACTCACCACCCTGAGTTTAGCAGGCTAATACTCAAACCACTGAGCTATCCCCCCCTGCTCTATAGTTTGGAAACTGTAGGTCTTCTGAAGATGGAAGAGAGATAGTAGAAAGTAATATGCTGAAGAGAACAGCGAGCAAGTGGAGGGTAGAGAGTGTTCATGGAAGAAATTAGGGATAAAGTATATTTGGGACTCTCAGTGAGATAGTCTGGAGAGCATACATTTGATGGAGGCTGGATGTTTGATAAGAATGTGAGGCAAACAACTAGCAAAGAAAGCATGGGAGGAATGGGACAGTGAGAAAGGACATGGAAGAACAAGGATATGATGGAAAGACTGTCAAGAGAAGTTTGAAAATGAAAAGATTGTAACTCCAAGACCTATGAACCCATGCCATGGACTGGAACGAGTGGTGAAGAATCATGGGTGCCTCCACTCATGTGTAAAGGGAAAAAGTGAAGGAAGTGCAGTGCTGACCTCTGTTGGATGGGATTGGAACTACTCAGATGTGTGTCATAAGCCCTGTCCTGTACAAGCGAATGGGTGATTCTCTTTTAGCTCATGTGGTAGAGGGATGCTTGTGGAGTGCAACACCAACAGTCGGTGGGGGATCGAACCTGGGACCTCTGGAGATAAATGCACGAGCCTCAAGCCACATGGTGATTAGCTAAGGTGTAGCAAGCATATTAATTTCTAAGTGGTCTTGGTGCCACTAGAAGGGACAGAACACCACACCCAGGAGATGTGTGGGTTACATGAGAATCACAATTCTATCCCTGAGCTTGATGCAGACTTCCAAGCGGTCCCAATGTGCCAGCTGTGAAGTGGTAGGTGACCACAAATTGGTTAAATTATTTAAAACTAAAGACGAGCCAGGAGAGTTACAACAGAACTACAGAATTTCATCCCCTGCTTGGTGCATTTCCTGCCTTCATTTTAAGATTGCTTCAGATCTGCAGCCTTATCTAGTCTTTTCCCCCCCAGGGTCTGTAATTCATCCACAAACCTCTCGGTTCCAAAAACACAGCAAAGACATAACACAAGAACAGGAGAAAAACAACACAGAATCCAACCAAGACTTACTCTGTGTCTGCTAGATTGGCCCTCACACTGGCCCACACTGTGACAATTACAGCAGGGAGTCCTGAAAACAAGAAAGTACTCATCAGTAAATACAATGTATAGCAAACTCAGTCCATTGCAAGCCAACTGCCGAGAGCTAGAGCTGGTGTGAGGGAAATTATTTAGAGGACTCCCCCATGGTTCAAGTATAGTTTGGAGCCTAAGGGCTCAATCCTGGTTTCACCTCCAACTTCAGGGAACCACAGGTCTGGAATCAGACATAGACCCATATTCCATGTCTTGGTTCTATCCAGAACACCAAATATGAATACCTCAGAGTTCTGGGGAAATTTGGATCCAGACACACAAATGACTCAGGACTATTATGATTTATATTACAGTAGCAATGATCTTACTAGAGGTCTTAACTGAGATTGTGATTCCATTGTGTTGGGCACTGTACGTACCTATATGAAGAGACAGCCCCTGCCCCAGAGAACTCACAAACTAACTTGGCAAGAAGGAGAAATGGCAGGAGATGAGTGACCTTGCAGCAGGACAAGGATGGGACCAGAACTCTGGATTTTTAACCCACTGGAGCACATTACCTCTCTGGATAGAAAGCATCCTAACTTTTACATACCCATCACACACATATCCAAGATGGCTGCCGGCAATCCCCTCAGACAGTGACAACCTCTCTACCTTCCACTGCTTCTGAGGCTCTGGAGACCTTCTCAAAAGTTTGGGAAGCCAGTAGGTTTCCAAGTAGGGCAGATCAGTTTGGATATTCATTTTTGTTTATAACCCTGTGGCACCAGAGTCAGATGGGATTGGGGAGAGCACTCGTGCTGCCATTTTGGGTTACAGGTCATCTGGAGGCACTAGGCTATACGGTTCACATAACCGTCTCACTGCTGCCAGTTAAAACTGGATTCAGCAGAAATCCTATGGGAGAGACCATCTTCGTGATAGTTCCAGGCTGATCTCCAAACCCTGGAGATAAGTAGAGCTAGCTGAAAACTTTCCAGTGGAACAGTTTCAAGTTGGAACATGCTGATTCGACAAAAAAAATGAAACGTATTGCAGGAACATATTGAAGTGATCAAAACTTCTTTCCACATTAGTGTTTTGACTTTTATATTCATATAGTACACAATCAAAATGATAAAGTCAAAACAAACTATTTTTTGGAATATTTCATTTTGCAAAAGTGCTTAGATTTTGACTTTTTGTCCTGATTCAGGACAAAATCTTAGCATTTCCTATGGGACAGAAATTCCCAATTTTGACCAGTTCTAGAGATAAGTATTAACTATGGAAATTAGGGGGCTAGGAGATTTTGCTGGACAAATCATTCAGATTGCCAGGGTTCCTCTAATTTGATGCATCTTGACATTTTACCCATTGCAATTTGATCACCAGTTTGACCAAAGAAAGAGCTTTTTCTCAACTGGGATGGAGAAGAAGCTTCTTCCATCTGCCTCATGAATTAACGAAAGCTAAGACAACCCTGGGAAAATATGTTTAAAGCCTAGTGGCCAAATTCATCTCTGGTGTAACCATGCTTATTTCAATGGATTTACACCTGGCATTATTTTTTCCCTTTAAGAGCTAAGACAACACTGAATAATGGGATAGATTCTTTTTTTGAGTCCAATTCTAATTTCTTTATGCACCCAAATCCCTCATGGACTTCCCTGAAAACCCAGGATTGGGCCTATAAGAGCTTCCACAAATGTTAGTAAAAGAGCCCCCTTCATAGAATATCAGGGTTGGAAGGGACCTCAGGAGGTCATCTAGTCCAACCCCCTGCTCAAAGTAGGCCCAGGCCCACGCCCATTTTTATCCCAGATCCCTAAATGACCCCCTCAAGGATTGAACTCACAACCCTGAGTTTACAGGCCAATGCGCAAACCACTGAGCTATCCCTCCCCCCACAGAAAGCAAAGAGGATGGTTATTAATAATTATAAACACTGTGTAGCTTCTATGCTCTGTGGGGCCCAATTCAGGAAAGTCCTTATGTATGTGTTTAACTTTACGCCCATTTCAGCTCCATTGAAGTCCATGGGATGTTAAACATGTGCTTAAGTAAGTGCTAAGTACTTTCCTGAATGGGGTGTGGGGCAGAGACTCTCTCTCACTATGACCTTGTCTACATTTGCCTATGCTTGCGGCCACATGTAGGGTCCATGTAGCTACATGCCCCAGGGAAAGGCAGGCTGTGACCACAAGCACTGGGGTGTGTAGCTACAGGCAGCGGGGAAAGGCTCTGGCAGCTGGACACTACACTGCTAGACCCAGCAATGCAGACATGGGAGGCAGTGCTTGGGTGTGTAGAGAGATGTGTAGGGTACAGGGGGTTCAGGCATGTAGGGCACCCTACTCTACTCAGGTGTTCATCACTGTCCATACTACTATTTATACCAGTGCTAGATGGGTGTGTAGTGTTTGTACTGTACACACTGCCCTACATGTATGTACAGAGCCTTATACAATGGGGCCCCGATCTTGGTCGGAACCTCTAAATGCTACTGTGATACAATCATAAATAATAAAACACTGGGCCTCATTCCAGTCTGGTGGAACTCCTCTGGCTACAATGGTACTACAAGAGGGATGCATCTGGACCACGCTCTACAATTACATACAGTGGTTAACATTAAAAAAAAGGAAATATTTAATTTATGGCCCTAATAATTTGTGACTCTATTGCATTCTACGTATAGGAAAGTTGGAGACTTTTTATAAGGTCAACTAAATACTTCCTGTTCAGGGTAAACCACTATCTATGGAAGATATGGGCAGGGAAACCTCAATTTTACAAACCATGGGCCATATCCTCAACTGGGATTGCTGTCATTGGAGCTATGCCCATTCACAGTGCTGAAAGTCTGGCCCCATTTTGAGGGTGTCTACCCGGCAGCTGGGAGCGAGTCTCCGAGATCGGGGAGATAGTCTCACGCTACCACACCAACAATAGCAATGTGGACGTTCTGGCAGAAACTTGGGTGCTCACCTGACCTCCTCGGCTTGAGAGACTGAGAATCTCTCTCAACCCAAACCAGAGTGTTCACCCGTTCGCTCTTGTGGCTCTGTCACCCAAGCTCTGACCCAGTGAAGTTGTGGGTGAGAAGCTGCTGCCCAAGCTGTAACACCCACACTGCTATTCTTAGTACATCAGCCTGAGCACTGCTAGAGTGGGTTTGTCTACCTGGACTGAGAAGCTCCCACCCGCAGTGTAGACACACCTTGTAAAACTTGATTCAAAACCCATTAAAGTCAGCGGGTTCCATGAACGTTAATGGGGTTTGGATCAGGCATATAGCGTTTTATAAATATGAATAAACAATATTAATACTTAGCTCTTATATAGCTCTGTTCAGCTATAAAGTGGATCTCAAAACACTTTACAAACGAGGTAAATACCATTATCCCCATATTACAGATGGGGAAACTTGAGGCATGGAACAGGGAAATGACTTGCCCAAGGTCATTCCACAGGCTAGTGGCAGAGCCAAGAATAGACCCAAAGTCTCCTGAATCCTATTTCAATGCTTTATGCCCGAGGCCACACTAAATAAATACATACACAGGCTCTGTGGGCCAAATTCTACTCTCAGCTGCCCCCGTGTAAGCTTGGAGTAACTCCGCTGACTTCAATGAAGTTACTCCGGCTTTACTCTACAGCTGGTTGGCAGTTTTCAAACACAATATTTTTAAACAATAGGGTTTTGAATGACTTTTCCTTTTCTCCCCTTCTTCCCCATTCTTTCTCAATGGCAAAATGGAAAAATAGGAGGGGGGAGAGGAGAGACAAAGGGGGGGGGAGAAAATTGTGGGATTGGGGGGAAAGGAAAATGAAAAATTTAAAAAGCAAATAAGTTTGAAAACAAACATTTTCAAAACAGAAAATTTTTTTTGATACAAAATGGGACACATTTTGAAATGAGTCCCCTTTTCAAATGTGTAAAATGACAATTACTTTGACAACATTTTGCATAATCCCCTCCTCCCCCTTTTTTTGACCATCTCTGTTTTACATCGGTGTAACGGAGAGAGAATTTGGACTTGCAGGTTCTTTCCAAAGGCCGTGGCTAATTGTTCAAATTATTTCAAAGAAAAAAAGAAACCTATGTTATAAATCATAAGACCCTCGACCCTTGGGTTCCCTACAGTATCTCTTTAACTCCACTTTCTGCTGGATCTCAATTGGCCTCTCCCCCCAGTAGTTATTATGGTCATAGATTCATAGATTCTAGGACTGGAAGGGACCTCGAGAGGTCATCGAGTCCAGTCCCCTGCCCGCATGGCAGGACCAAATACTGTCTAGACCATCCCCGATAGACATTTATCTAACCTACTCTTAAATATCTCCAGAGATGGAGATTCCACAACCTCCCTAGAATAGACCCAAAGTCATCACACGGATGCCCAATTTGAGATTCCTTGGGACTGATTTTAAGTGGTGTCAAGCTCCCACAGCTTCCAGGAACATCAATGGGAGCAGTGGGCGCTCAGCCTACTCTAAAACCCAGGCACAATGTCGGGACCCAGAATTAGAAGACACGCTCAAAAACTTGGCCGTATGTGTCAGCCGGCAGGTGGCACTGGCAGTGAAAGTCACAAAGGATGAACTGTTCTTGCAGCTGGCGAACCAGCCAAGAAGGGCAAGCCTCACAAAAGCAATTTGGTCTCCCTCATGCACGCGTCCACCCACACCCCAGCCCTGCGTGTGTAGCCAGCATTCCCACAGGTAGAGTCCCACAGGGTGGCGATGCTGTCATTGACGTCTACAGTATCCACATTGTATGCGCTGTGCATGTCCAATCAATACACACAGTGTGTACAATGCAGGTTCTATAAAGTCAGGTCACGCCCCTTGAGCTGGAAAAAGTGCAAAGTCTCAGGCTAGGCAAAATCCTCCCCCCCCGCCGCCGCCCCATTCCAACAAAGAGACGCCCTCGGATGAACGCCCCCACACACACACTTCTTCTAATGACCCTGAGTCCTGCATGATGAAGAGCTAAGGATCCTGACTCCACCTGCAGTTCAGAAAGGGAGACGTCATTGGAGTGCTGGGATGAACTGTATCTGTTCATAGGCCTATAGGGGCATCTCTATTCCATGCTATTGTGCTATCTTCTGAGTGATCTGTAACACCAAACCATACGTGGTCAGTAAAGGGCAGATTATGTACCCCTCACTGAGTCATGCTTGTGTAACGCCAACAGATCCCAGTCGTCAGCAGGCAGAATTGAACCTGCGACCTCAATGCGTGAGCATCTACTGCATGAGCTAAAAGCCATGTGGTTTTTAAGCTAAGGCTATAGAGCAAACTCAATTTCTCATGCTCTCGCTAAGTGGTCTCGGTGCCACTACATGGGACAGAACACCACACCCAGGAGGTGTGTGGGTTACACTTGCTCACGCAAGGAGCCCATTAGGAGGAAGTGCTCCTCAGTGTGAGTAAGGGTTGCCCTAAAGATCTTGTGTCTCTACAAGTTGGAGTGTTAACCGAAGCGTTCTGGGCTATAATACAATAATAATAGCAATAATTGCATTCAACCTATGGAAAAGAGCCCCTCTTCCCTGTCCCCTGCTCCAGTAGCAGGAGTAGTTATTCTTCATTTCCCTGCCTACAAGCAGTTGAGTAACATCACTGGCACAGAAGAGATGTTCAAGGCTGCTCTAAGTTGTGCCAGATCTTTCTGCATTTAGCTTGCAATCACTTTGGGGGCAGGGATAGTCTCTCACTGGGCTTCTGATCCTGGTTGGTGCCTCTCTGTGCTCCTCTAACAGCAATAACTCTCAGTCTATTTTAGGTTTTCCTATCGCACTCACCCTCGTTGTGTCTAAGTGCCATGAGGTCCAGTTACCAGGGACAATTAAAACGTTGTGAATAAAATACAATTGAAATAGTCTGATTTTCTACAGTTATTGGTCATGATCCTCCGACTTCCTTTATATAGCAGCTGCAGAGAACCTGAAGCTTGTTGGTGAATTTATTGACACTGGTAAAATCTTTTTTCCCCCTAGATGTCTGCAAGAAACAAGTTCCTTCTGTCACCTTTGTATCCTCTTTACTACAAGAAGGGCCAGATCCTTCTACTGATCAGACATTTTTCAGCAGAAATTTTTTTTTCAATGAAAAATGGGGATTTGGGTTAACAAAACTTTTTGCAAATTCATGTTGACTTCACCAAATTGTTTCAGATGAAAAAAACAAACACAAAAAAAACCCGACAAATTCCTCCACAAATCTATCCATTTAAATATATTTTTTCCTTTGACACCACTTTCCCTTTTGAAATTTCCTTCAGTTTAATTTTAAAACAGTAAAAAATAAATTAAAAAAAGGAAGCTTAAAATCAAAAGAAAACATTTGGTCTCAGGCTGAATGAAACATTCTGTGTGACCCAAAATGATTTTTGGTTTTCATTTTTTTTGATTTGCTGAAAATTTTCCTAAAAAAATCCCATTTTCAGGTCAACCCCAAAGAATTTTTTTTTAACTCAGTTTTTTGGAACTGCTAGTGAACTGAAAAACCAACTATTCCAGGTCCACTATTGACAACAACTTATGCCAGCTGAGGCTCTGGCCTGTAAAGTCTCCTCCGGATAAGTCCTTGGATCTAACATCAGAGAGCAAATTGGTGTTTGGGTTCCTTCAGCATAAATTGATTTATGGTGAACGGTTTGGATTTTCCTAGAAATCTCCAGGGTATTACAAATCCTCAGATGTTTGTTGTTATATAAGCAAAGGATCTCAGATCTTGGGGCAAACTTCTCCCTTATGTACCTATGTGAACATCGTAGTTATTTATCACTGGTTCCACATTGGTCTTCACTGTGGTATGGGCATGATCCAGTGCCCGCTGTATTGAATTGGAGTCTTTCCATTGACTTCAGAGGGCACTGGACAGGGGCCCCCTTCTGAATGCCCAACAGTTATCAAAGCCATGTGTATGTATATTTTTTTATCATGCTAATCCAAATAAAGCAAAACCAAATGCAACTGGAGGAAATCATCCGTTCTCATTCCAGAGGAATTTAATTAAACAGCCACGAATGTTTGGAGTCAAATGGGTAATTGGTGTTGTGACAGGTGTGCCTTTAGCATTGTGAGCTGCTCAATAAGTTGATTATACTTTGGCAGTGATCGGAAGTGTTAATGAAAGGATCCGATGCCCGTTTCACTGGAGTTTTTTTTGGCTACTTTGGCATTATTAGCAATGTTGCTTTGTGCTAAATGTGTGGCATTATTTCTACCGAATCGCCCCTATTTCTAGGATTTGCACTAGGAAATCATTTATCAGGCCTGCTCTGTACCAATCATTTCATTTTAATAATAAGCGGCAGCATACATTCGGTGCAATTCTCTCAGAAGTAAAATAGACACAAGACTAAATTAGTAAGGTGCCTCTGCTACTCTAGTACTTTGAAGAGTTTTTAAATATGTGCGTCCAAAGAATTCTCAGTCTAATAGCAGTTGGAAGAAGAATTGTCCTATAGCGGATGTTTGGAAATCCCACTAGCCAATGCATCATTCTTTCACTAGGGAAAGCCAGGCTTTCATAGCCTTTGCAACGCTGACACCTCTGAGACCCCTGGAGCTCAAGACACAAACGGTTACCGCCTGAGCTCAAAGGCCAAGCTCAGTAGCAAAGCTGTAGCAGGCTTGTCAACTGCTATGTGGCTTAGCCACCACTAGAGGAGGACAGAGTTCCACACCGCATGGGCAGGACATACATGTGACACCTTGAATGTTGACTATCTGACTAGTTGGGAGATCCACGGGTATAGAAACCACAGGTGGAAATGACCAAGTACATAAGGCAAGCTTGTGGCCTGCAGTATTTTGTCCAGTGCATTTTTTTAAAACAAGGTCTCTGCTGTTTCACTTGAGAAACTCGAATAGATACCTCCCTCGAGAAGCTTTCCCTGCTGTATGTTCCTTTGCTCATGTACTGCACCCCATTATGTCTCGTTATACCCGTGAGCGCCATCTTAAACATTTCCTCTTCTCCCTCGGTGTTTCCACCCATCAGACGCTTGCAGGCAGTTATCGCACTGCCCTCAAACGATCTGCCCCTCATTAGTCCCTGCCCTGTCTCACCAAGCCAGCGGCAGGGCCAGAGGGGAACAAAAGCACATTCTCTTCTTAAACACTGGTGTGTAAACAGCCTTCCACGAATGGCTTGCCCCCACCTTTTCCCTCCCTCCCTGCTCCAAGAAAAGATCCAGGCATATAAAAAAAAAAAAAAAAAGCTTCCCCACAAATTGCAGGTTTCCATTTGCGCGCTCGGACACTCGAGAAATCCGGTGGCAGGAGAGTCTGAGGCCAGAGGAAGGAAATCAGAGTGTCGGACTCCCCCATGAACCAACATCCTGAGCCCTGGCTGAATGTCCCATTTATACAACCATTTCCCCAGATGCTGACGGTCTCAAGGGAAGCTGGCCCAGCCGGTGTCACACCCGTGTCAACTTACACGGGCTGAGGACCTGGCCCCTGTATCTCTAAGGGCAGAGAATTATTTAAGAGTGAAATCAGCTGCAATGCTCCATTCCAGGAACACCCCCTGGTCAGCTCTGCACGGGATCAATCTGTGATCGAGACATCCAACTAAATGTTATCTTCAGGGATGCGGGCCTGCCACCCCTTCCACGGGGGAGGAAGGCCCTGCCTGGGACAGGATTTGGGGAGCCCATGTAGGAGGAGTGCAACCTTTGTATGCTGCACATTGCAGTTTCGGGTGATTCCCCGTGCATTACTACACAGCGGGGATTCAGGGGACGGGGCGAGTCAGAGGACGGATTGGTGGATCAGCTAGTATATGGATCCAGCTGCCCTCACGGAGTGAGGCAGACTGGAGGACTGTCCATGGAGCATTTCCACTGCTGCTTCGTGTCCTGATGAGGACTCCAATGCATGCTGGGGAGATAGTATGTGGACAAGGGCAGATAATAAGGCCTTCAAGGGTGATGTTTCAAGCAACACCTCCCAGCCCTTTAACTCTGTCTTCATTTTCTCTTCGACCTGCACAGACACACACCCACAAACACACAGTCAGCTTAGAAAACCCCGAGAGCAGCGGCGACTCACCCCAGCCAAACAGCGTGAAGCCCCAAAGATACTTCTTCTCAGAGAAAAAGGCCATGAAGATGAGGCTGTGGAGATAGAGCCCTTCCACCAGGATCCAGTAGTAATTGGTCGCCAGGAAGTACAGGAAGAAGGTGACGACGACCTTACAGCCCATCTGGAGTGAGGGCAGAGGGAGAAAGGGGGGTTAAAAATGCGGTGTGAACCTGAAGCAGTGGTAGTTATGGGTTAGCGAGAGCTTGAAAACAAACTGGAGAAGAAAAAGGCTACCATGCAAGTTGGAGTGGGCTCTCCAGAGAGTGTTCTACAGGCAGTAGCTTGGGTTTATGGCTAGAGCCCTGGAGTGGGACCAAGGGTTCTAGTCCCACCTCTACCACGCACTTTGCCTCCATTTTAGACTGTAAGCTCTTCAGTGCAGACACCAATACTACCTGCTTGTACAGGACCTGGATCAAGTGACAGCAGTTGAGACCTCTAGGCACTATTCTAATAATAAGGAGGAACATCTTATAGGGCTTGATCCTCAGATGGCGTAACTGCATTAACCTGAGGGGAGCGATGCTGATTTACACCCGCCGAGGATCCGGCCCATAAGGTTTACTGTGAGAAGGAAGTCAGCTCATGAAATCTGATCTCAGATGAACTCTCTGTGGAAGACCCAAGGGGTATTTGACATGGTTGGGTAGCTAGTCCCATTGGGTTGTCCTGAGCAAGGTCTCATTTTAAGATAGTGGGTTGGATCTGGCGTCAATGGAGCTACTATGGATTTATCCCAGTGTAACGGCAGATCTGACCTAGTGTTCAGCTCCTGACAGCTCAGGAGAACATGGGTGAGAAGAGAAACAGGTGCCCCCACTTCGGGCGGCAATGCACTTGCTGGAGGAGAGAGGTCCTGAGATCTGCCCCATGGGATTTACCATTCGCCTTTGCGCCTCACCAAGAGCACTCAAAGCCCTGGGGTTAGGGCTGCTCAGGATTTTCGAGCGCCAGCCCATTGCTTTTACGGACACTTCTTTCTTCTATGCCAGCGACTCATCAAAATGGGATTCTATACCCAGCATCTGTTGCTGTCTGCACGTGCGGGCTCTGGCTGTCAGCATTCCGGGTGATCATTGATTCAGCCAGCGACTCAGGAACCCATAGATAGATTCATATGACAGGGGCCCCTTGCACACACAGGGTGCATGGGCGGGGGAGCATTGTACAGATGGTAAACAAGCACCAGCACATCCTGCAAGTGAGCGGCAGGTAGGAAGCTGCCCTAGATGGTACCCTGAGGCAGCAGGTGTGCAACAGATAACAGTCAGCAAGTGCCCTGCTGTAGGCTGAAGGTACAGACTGCACCGGCAGTAGGTGGAACACTCATTCACTACACACATGGTGAGCATCAGCTCATTGCACCTAGAGGGAGCCGATGCACAGCTGGAGCCAGGCTCAGTCAGATGCAGCTCGCTAGAAGTCAAAGGGAGCTGTGCCCACTTCCATCCAGGTTGCATTTAGCACAGGGTGAGCGGCAATGGACAGGCAGAGATCACACCTCCAGAGCCAGCCGGTGTACAGCCACAGATTACACAGATAGACACAGACGGGCTTGGCACCCCGGTGCAGGGCCAGATTCTCAAAAGAACTGCGATTTTCCAAAGCGCTCAGCCACTCGCCTTAGAACAAGGGGAGCGGAGCGCTTTCGAAAACCCAGCCCCAGTTGTGGAAACTGGGAACTTTGGACAGTCTGAGACCCCCCGATTCAGTTCTTATTCCATCACCGTGCCGCAAAACGCTGAAGGCCATGAAGACAGTGGGACGTAGGCAGCTGTACTCTCCGACTTTTAGGCCAGAAGGGGCTATTGTGATGATCAAATCTGACCTCCGGAATAACACAGGAAGAATTTCACCCGGAACTTCAGTGCTTTGCTGAATCAGTGCGCACTGCTGCATCCACGCCTGGGAAAACCTAGCCCTCAATATGCAAGTCAGTTGAGTCAGATTTAACCCTGGGATCACTTTAATTAGATATATAACGTTAACAAAAATCAGTGCTGTCTCAGCCTTACTGCACAGTGGTATCCGTGGCATCATAGCTATGGAGTGATGATTCCGGATTCCAAGCACAGGGGAATGACCACAGCAAGTAGGGTTGCCAGGTGTTCAGTTTTCGACCGGAAAGTACCCACAGTAACTGGCCTCCGCCACCACGAGGCGGGAAGCGCAGCGGCTGCGGCTGGAGCCTGGCGGAGGTGCTCTCTGCTCAGCTGCTCATGGAGAGAAGTGGCTAGCTGGCTCTTGGCTGGCTCCAGTCTCTCTGGCAGATAAGTTGGTGTGTGTGTGTGTGTGTGTGTGTGTGTGTGTGTGTGTGTGTGTGTGTGTGTG